GTTACATCATGGCTTGTCGTCACCAGACGGATGTGGGCCGGATGTTCAAAATCCTTAAAGCTGCTTCCAACTTTGATGGCGTTCCTTAATCGACAATCCGTTATCATCATCATCATCATCACCACCATGTCCCTCATTTGTAATCCCCATTAACAATCCTATTTAATATTTTGTTCCCTGAATTTCAATGAATGGGATTACAATTTATTCTCGTATGACAAATATATAGTTCAGTGTATGCTTGTAAAACTATTTAAGTAAAACGGACTATGTTTTATTATTTTACCAGGTAAGACCCACTGAGCTACATAGCTCTTTTTCAAAAGCGACCTGGCCACAAATGACAGCTCAACGAAGTGGGTTATCACGTGGAAATGTATAGCAGCCAAATACTGTAAACGCACGTTGATTCTAAATGAGGAGGGAAAACCCGGAGCACCCGGAGAAAAATCCATGTGACCACGGAGAGGGAAACACGCCAACTCCAAATATACAGGTGTCAGGGTCGGGATGGAACCCACGACCTCCTGAATATCAGGCGAGGCACTTAATATCTCGCCACCATGGCGCCCTACTCACTCGAAGCATTGATAAGATGTGGGCCAGATCACGGAAGTTAAATGTGTGTCATGAACCCTCTACCACCTGACACGGCCAATGGATAAGTTGTCACGCGATGAATAAACATGCCAAGCAAGTATTACTCTTTGGTTCTTTCAGTAAAGTGAGAGGGGTGGGGGGTAGAGAAATTAGCATGCCCCCCTCTCTCTCTATTTAAGGCCTCGACACAGAGGCGTTGTTTCTCTGTGTGCCTATGTGTGTGTCTCTCTCTGTGTGTCTCTGTTATCTCTCTCTGCTTATGTGTCTGTCTATGTGTCTCCGTGTCTGTGTTTTGTCTCTCTCTCAAATGTAGCAATCTTTGGAAGAACGTAATCAACCAGGTAGGGTGTTGACTGTTATGTTAGCCGACTCTCTGTGTTGTATCATATTTTATTTATAAGTTTACTATGTTTGTTTTCTCTTTCATTTGTACCTGATGACGGTTGATTGTTTTGCAATCGAAACATCGTATTCTATTATTATTTAATTTATTTACTTTCTACGTGACTTTACCGAAATAAACAAAGAGTAATTCCTGCAGTCACGAAAGCTCCAAATCAAGTTTGTGCCAGGTGTTACTGCTTCAACCCAGAAGTAGTTAACAAGTGGGTAACGGATGCTTCTCTGGTAGTTACAACCAGCATCGCCAGGCTGTTGGCAGAATTGTGAAAATGTCCCCGGGTCTTGTGCGCCCACAACGGAGCAGGAAGTGGTTCCAGGAGGTTTGTCATTTTGTCCAATAAACACGATGAAGGATGCAGGGTAATGAGTTTCACATCTAACTTAAGCCACACGTGATGGATTCTGTCCACGTGATGGGAGCCGTCCACATAGCGGTTTCCTTCCACGTGATGGAGTTTGTGTTTGCTCCCCCTGTTGTGTGCGAGTTTTCTCAGAGTTCTCCAGTTTCCTCCCGTAGCTAAACAACAACAACAACTGCCGCCATTCGCCACTAAGTGGCGGTGACGTCACCGTGGAGCCTGTGCAAGGTCACGTGCACCTTGAGGTCACGTGAAGTGTTGAAGGCTTGCTGTGCTGGAGGTCATGGGACATACTCAGGTGCCATGGGTTGACTGACTGAGATGACTGGCAGATTCACCAGCTTTGATCCCCTCCTATCAACTTTCGGCATTTTAGCTACCTGGCTCCGAGGATTTTGTGAGCATCAGCTACTCCGTTGTTGTTGGAGGGCGATTGCATCCAACTGTCCAGGAGCGTACTTCACGAGCCTCGTCCATAAAGGCCGATCTTGACACCGGTCATTGGCAAATCCACTCAGCTCCACATCCTCCTGTACCAGCCCATGTCACGCCCATTTAGCCCCCTCTATCTGGCCAAACAGTAGCTGCTTGGGCATAACTAAACAAAGATACCACGTATAGCCTGTAACAGACTGTTGGGGCAAGTGCTGTTATTGACCGCCTATGAAGGCCGGCACAGCACACGAGGGGGTGGGGGCCAACACCACACCCGGCCGCCTTTGTCTCCCCAGTGGTGACATTTACACATCACACCAGGTACTAATTCGAGGCTGAGTGGACCTAGAGGAGGCCCATGACCGGTTCAGATAATGGTCACTGGTGTTGGCCGTGAGCCGGGAATCGAACTTGGGCTGCCGGGTTTGCAGCGCAGCGCTAAACCCACACACACGCACACACACCCGATGTAACTGGTGCTGGCCAAAACATTCCACCGCTGCAAGATTACCTGCACATGACTCAACTGGGATTTACTCACGGCATCAGCATCGACCTCCCCCCTCCTACTGCAAAAGAAAAAAAAAAAACTTGGCAGCACCCTGCTGAAAATGAGTCTTGAGACTCAGCGAGGCTTCCCCCGGGTCAATAAGCGTGACAAAAAAATAATCAAGTAACACAAGAGGGCCCTCACACTTCAAGAGCAGCTTTGATCAAATAATTACAAGCCGCTGCCGTGCCAACGCATTTGATGTTTGACATTTCAATCTCACTCCAGCGGAATGAAATGCCCCGTTGAAGCCGGGCGGAAGCTCATCGAGGTAACGAGGCAGCGCTCTCTGTCCGAGGCAGAAGCGACTCAAATCCTTCGCCTAACTCCTCATCGCACAAGCCCCCACATCCCCCATAGCGCCCCCCCTCCCGCAGCCCGTCCACAAAACCCCCCACGCGTAACGGCGCATCCGCTCGTCCGTTAAAATCCATTCCCTTGCTCGCGATATCCTTACAGTGAATTCTGGGCTTCAGAGCCGATTAGTTAATGTTTGTAGGAATTATATTGAGAGTGTGGGTTACCCCATACCCCCCCTACCCCAGAGAGCGTGGGTAATCCAAACGCTTCCAAGATGCCTGGACAGTGTGGAAGAGTAGGCCAAAAACACCCTCTACAGGGGATATCCTTCTCGAGCTCTCTGTAGTGGAGGCTTTTCCGCCAGCAGTGGCGTGAGCAAGGAATTGCAGGGCTGCACCTTTAACATGTTTTGATAAATCTTACGTTTGGGCTCAGGGAGTGAGCCCAAACAATGGGGTAACAAAACGAGAAGCGACGCGGGTGAGACTAAAATCGATACTGCAACTCTCTCAAATCTCGACGAGTAATTGAATCTCGGGGTGGAGGGGAGGGTGGAGGAGGTTGGTGGGGTTGGGGTAGTCAATCATTACGCGTCGAGCGAGAATGTTTAATTGTCATGGGAACAACCGAACGGGACTCGTGTTCTCCCAAAGACCCGATGATATCATCATCATTCGCCACAACCCATTCAACCCCCAATCTCACCCCCCCCCCGCCCCCTACAACCCCCACGGGGGTCGTGACCCCTTGGCGGGGCCAGCAGGAAGAGGCCCTTCTCTGGGTTGCAGGCGCTCTCCGCTGAGGAGAGAGTGAGACGCGCCGGAGGGTCTGGCGCTCACCCGCCGAAAACCCCAATAACGGCGCACCAACAAATCCCAAACAGATTTAGGATTCAGCAGCAGTAGCAGCAAGCAGCAGCAGTGTCAAGCCTCGCGAAACCCCAGACTGCGCGGATACGTTTTCCTACTTTGGCAACATTTTTAAAAAATATAAAATGACGCAGTGCTTTTTAAATTGGGTGGGAAAAAAACCCTAGTATGCACTTTGTAGTGCCAATCGCAAAGACGTCGTTGCGACTCTTGAGAAGAGTGCTGGAGATGGGGAGACGTAGTGAGTTGCGAGAAGAGACGATGTCTGATAATGACGATGGAATGGCAGTCAAGATGGAGGTGGCGGAGGAGAAACGCGCTGGAGGGAATGTCCGACGGTTCGACGGGGAGACGGAGCGTTGACATCAGCTTGTGCGCAGGTCGCCGGTAGATTATTATTATCGTGGCATTGTGAGAGATGGGCGACGGTCCAGTGGGAAGCCGTTGCCATCCAGCGGCAGAGGACTGACCACTGCCGATGGTGAATGTTTGACGCAATCTGGTGACGGAATGTCGTCGATATGAAGTCGGCGGCGTCTCTCTTTTTAACCCGAGCTCTGCGAGAGTCAGAGGCTGCTCGCTCGCTCGCACGCACGTGGAGAGGGAGGCTGGGTGCTGGTGCACTGGGGAGGGAGTTCTGGCCGTGTGAGACGACTCGCCAGCCAGCGGCCCCCCGCCCGCCCCTACAGCCCGCCCCCCATCGGTAACAAGAGACGGAGCGAGTGTGCAGCCTGGCGCGTTTCTGACGCCACACTTGCCGTGGCGTGACCCTCCGCCCTCCTGCGCCGCAAGCCAGACCGACCCCCTCCCCCACCGCAGCCAGCGCCACTGTAACCGCCGCTGCTGGGCTCATATCCGTGTTTATGATCGTGGACATTTTATTAGCTTCGGGACATCGACGACGATGATGAACCATGTGCTCTGCATTTCAAAGGAAACCCACGCATCGTCAAGGCCGCTCACTGCTCTCCGCTTCACGCGCGGCATTTCCCATCAGCCCCTCGCCGCCATCGCCAGCCCCCTGGTCTTGTGGTGAACCGAATTAGCATCCGCTCAGTGCCAGCGTGTGAGTAGGCGGGCGGCGTGACCGAGGGAGAGGGGATGAAGGCAGTGCCGGATGAAGCTAGTGCAGGGCCTGTTGCGTTTGTTATAAAGTGGCCCTAAATAAAAAAAACATTTTTATTTTTTCATTTGCTATACAGCCGGATAATACTACAAATCGCTAACCTTAAACACCCAATCGTTCGTAAAAGTCGAAGGCAGTATAGTACTATAGTACTAGAGCAAGTGCAAAATCACTGAATCGGAATTGATAGCTTGAAAGCATTTAGCACGGGGCCCTTGAAAGTGCGGGGCCCTTGAAAGTGCGGGGCCCGTAGCTACATTTGTAGCTACTTGTGCTACTAGGATCATCTGGCACTGGATGAAGGTGGACGGGATGGTGGTGCGGTGGGGGGGGGGGGCGACGTGAGGGAAGGCGCTCACCTGTGGCCGTGATGGTGAGGTCGTGCGTGCGGAAGCCGTCCTGGGCGTCGTCGAGGGTGAGGGAGGTGTGGGCGAGGAGGTGATACTTGGGCCCGCTGAGAGAGACGGAAGACAGAAAACGAGGAAGATAAACGACTCGCGACATTCGCGAAGAGAGGTGAAAAAATTAGTTTTGTTTTTCTATCTCGATGAATCGTTCTCGTGACGCAGGCTGGAGACGAGGTGTTAATCGAGATTACGGCTCGGGCTTTGTCGAACATTGCTTCTCTGCTCAAATGGGCATTGGGTTATTGTTCCAGCAGCGATCCCGTGAGTTGTCGCGATTCGTGGTCGCGATTCAACTCAAGAATCGATTCTCTCTGTCTCATCTTTACCGTCTCAGTTTTTTTCTGATCTTTGGATATGAAAAAAAGCTACCCCACGAGCACATAATTTGTTTACATTGGAAATGTTCGACTCCAACGCACACGATTCGATGCGTGTACCGTGAGCCTAAGTTTCGATTTTATAAGCAACAACCCATCAAGGCACGGGTTGGCAACAAAAATAACAAAGAGCCGATGCTTGACGAGCTGCAATGCGAAGTCGAGATGTCGGTCCTTAATAAGTAACGCCAACGAAGCAGTCCTTCAAGAGCCGCACGCAGATTGCCGACCCCTGCATTAACGGGACGGCTCAAGTCGCAGAGGCTCTGTCAGACCTGCTGAGTTGGCTGGGTCAGACCACTTTCAGATTTTTTTGCACCAGTTCAGAATGTCCTGGCTTCATGTCCGTACGTATGTTGAACTTCTTTCACACCGTATGTAGCCAACCGTGCTAATCGGAGGTGCGGGGGGAAGGACAATAAACTAAACACAAAAAGCGGTTTGGAAGAAACGAGTCCACGCGTTATGCATGCTCGACTTGTGATACGAGTCAAGAGTGGGCACGGCTGGCGGGGGCAAGGGGGCTACCACCCGTCCCGGTGGCGGTGGCCTCACCTGACCACGGTGGTGACGGGCGGCGAGGTAGCGGCGGCGGCGCCGGAGGCTGGCGCGTCCCCTCGAGGCGACGTGTCCAGGGCGGCCCGGGCCCTGCGCCCGGCCGAGCGGCCCAGCGAGCCGCTGATCCGCCCGGCGAGACCCCTGGCCCCCACCTGGGTGCCGGCCGAGCCGCCTCCCACTCGGCACGAGTCTTCGGCCGCGCAGCAGCTGTAGACCTCCACGCGCAGGCGGAACGCGGGGCTCGCCTCGCGGCTGCACGTGACAGACAGACGGACAGACGGGGGCAATGGCAAATTGGTGGTGATTATTCGTAACATTGCACTTGATTGACAATGAACCATTGGGTCGATTCGTGCCGTTGAGTAAGATGATTTAACTATGAGCTGGTCCTCACTCGTCCGGGGGTCAGTGCCGACGTAATCACCGATTACAAAGCGATTACAATGTCAACAGATGAGTTCACCCCATTGTTTTGTAGATAAAGCAACACACACTCTGTATGTTTTGTCTAATTTACACGCTTAACACGATCCGTTTTTTCTTTCTGTTTTATCCGGGCCGTCCCCCACCCCACTCCTGCCCCCACCGCATTACCCCGGAAAGAATTGGCGGTTAACCGCACTAAAAAAAGGACATTTTAGGGAATTAATTGCCAGCAATCATCATCATCATCAACGGCAATGGTTGCTCCACCCTTTTTCTATTTGTAAAAGATTACTAAATCTGATCGCTGCCGCCCCTGGTGGGCAACTGGGATGGCAGCTTCCAATCAGACCACAGACGGGTCACATGACTACCCGAGGTTGTGTGCTCCAATCAGACGTTCACCACTAGACGCTTGTCTACTCTATGCCATTGCCATGCCAAGTTGCCATCGTTGATCGCTCTAAATGCGTTTCCCGGCGGCTATTGCCGTACATTTTTTCCCCTAATGCACCACGGCTTCTAGCGTGGCAATACTGGCCACACAATACAAGGATCCCCTGTATAACCTCAACAGACTTTTGGGGGCAAGTGCTGTTAGCGAGCGACTATGAAGGCTGGCACAGCGGAGAAGAGGGTGGCCAGCACCACGCCACTCCCCGGTGGCGATGTTTACACACCGCACAAGATACTAATTTGAGGCTGAGTCGACCTGGGGGAGGCCCAGGTACCGGTTTAGATAATCGTCACTGACGTTGGCGTGGCCGTGAGCGGGAAACGAACTCGGGTCGCCGTGAGCGGGAAACGAACTCGGGTCACCGGGTTCGTTAGCGCACGACGCTTACCGCTGCACCACCGCTCACACACGTGTCGCACACACACAGACAGACACACACGCGCTCACTCGCGCACCGCACGGCAAAGCCGGCCTCTCCCTTTCATCTCGTGCAACTATAAATATCGCTGTGCAGGCGCTTCAAAAGATACCAACTCTCCTCTTCTGTTGTGGTAAAAAAAAAAAGTACATTTTAATATCGAGCAACGTGCTTTTCATTTCGAGAGTATTAATGTTTAGCGTAGGTTTTCGTCCCGGTGGGGGTGGCGGGAGAGGCGCTCGAGTTATTCTCGCGAGATTTGATTAAACACGTGTGAGGATCGGGCGTCGGCGCGAGATTTATTTTTTCCCGCCGTCTCAAGCCAAGGAACATTTTCTTTTTCCCAGATCAAGCCGCTGAGCTCAGAGCGGGAACAAAATCGACCTCCTTGTTCGAGGCGCTGCTGCGACGCGCACTCAGCGACGGCCGTCAGCCTGGATCCCAGCGCGGAAGAGAAACAAAACGGCGGAACGGACCCTCGACGAAATGGAACGCGTCCGTGGGGCATCGTCCCCGGCAGGGGGATGGAGCGATGGAATAGTCTCGCGACGGATCGCATAAAAACCGAGAGGCGGCGGCGGAGATCTCGGGGGAGGCCTTGATATTGCCAGCGGATTGATCACGGCCGACGGTTACGACAACGGGGCGGGAGACGGTACTCTCTCGTGGCGGTGGCTCTCCACCCGGCCGGGCGTTCCTCGCGTCGCCTTCGTCACAAACAAGACCGTCACCCGGGCGAAGTGGACGTCGTCAACTCGAACGGAGATATGATCAAAATAGGAGCCGTGATGGGGGAAACGTGTGGGGTATTTGTAGGTTCATTGGGGGTTGCAAATATTTGCGGGGGGTGCACACGTGGATCTCGTGGTAGGGGTCCACACGTGGCTTTGCGAGAGGGGGGTGGGGCGACTTACAAGACGGCGGGAGCTTCGAAGCACACGTCCGTGACAGGAGCGGTCGACCAGGACCATCTCCGTGTCGACGATCTCGGAGCCGAGACGCAGCAGGCAAAACACGGCGTGCCGCGGAGACTCTGCCGCACGCAGACACAGACAAAGATCCCCCGCGTAGCCTTCATCAGACAGCTGGGGCAAGTGCAGTTTGCGAGGATCTATTAATGCACTGCCGAGGTCACGGTCCCAATTTGCCAACTTTTGTGACCAATATTATGCCTACCAATCGTAGGTACTGCATCGTCTCAGATGATCATGATCCATTGTTATTTATATGACGACGTTAACCCCTCTCTGGTCTTCGCACGTGATGACGTCACAGTGATGACATCACCATTGCTCTTTTTAAGACTGAATCAGGAGGATTTCTTCACAATTCTGGCTAATCGCCTGATGAGGCTGGTTGTAATCCCCAGTGAAACGTCGTACTCAAATTGTAAATGTCGTGGGTTTGCTCTCCAAACACATCGGTGTGCCGAAGTAGTAACTAATTGGCACGCTTTGTTCACGTGACAAACCTTACTAACGACACATTTATATTCACTTACCCAAAAAAAATCTCTTTAGTTGTGGATTTAAAAAATCCCACCGCAGATTTGTCGTTTTGGAAAATAAGTTACAACATCGCCCTCTACTGAGAAACGACTGCAGCCCCGCGTCTGCGAAACACCGCAGCGCCTTCCTTCGTGACGATCGCCTTGCGCTGCGAGAACGATAGCGCCAATACAAAATATACTCGCGATGTCAATGTTGTGAAGAAGACCAGCAGCGCTGTGCACGAGCGGCCTTGTGTGGCGAGCACAACGCCCGGCCGTCTTGGTCGTTACCTTCCCAGTGCCGATGTTCACGTAGCACACCGGGCGTAGGCCCAGGACTGGTCTAACATCACCCGCCACTGATATAAATGTATGGCTGTATGTATGGTGAACTTCTTTTGCACTGTACGTAGCCAACCGTGCTAATCGGAGGTGCGGGGGAAGGATGATAAAATAAAAATGATGGCCTTTTTTGGGTACTGGAAAAGTGTCCCGGATAGTTTGAGGATCACTGGTGAGATTTTACTTTAAAAATATTATTTTTAATAGTATATGCGTAGTTTGTCTCTTAATTGTGATTTTTAAATATGTTATTGTTAGTTTTAATGTGAGGTTAGTAACACTTAGCCTCAGCCTGTGCTCCGGTTGGCTGGCTGGCTGGCTTAAAAAACAATCGAAATGAAAACTCACCACCCTTGTTCTTGAAGTGTTGCGTGTCCTTCCACATCAACGGAATTCGGATATCTGTTGGGACACAGAAGAATTAAACAAAAAAAAACCCTTCAGCTCTCCCAGGTTACACGTTAGAGCATTAGGCTGCTGTTATAAATTTCCACTTGATAGGCTACTTTGTTGAGCTATCACTTGTGGCCAGGTCGCTTCTGAAAAAGAGCTGTATAACTCGGTGGGCCTTTATCCGGTAAAATAAAAAAATCGGTCAGTTTTAGTTTATGAACTCAACCATGAGCTCGGCAGCGATTACTGTCACGAAATTGGGACAGCACGCGTCACTGCTGGAAGGTGACGATCACCGGTGGTCGAGACTAACGACCGAGCGGAGGTCAAAGGTGAAAAAATCGTTTTCGAGCACGTCAACCACGGAGACGGAGCAACGAAATTAGCTTTCGTGTGCAGTGCCGTGGCCAGGGGTCGGCAACCCGTCAAGTGGGCAGACATTTATATATATGTAAACATTCTTAAACATAATTTAACAAAGATTATTGTTTAAATATGGCAGGCGATGGGTCACTATGGAATGTCTTGGCGACGACAAAATGTACAACAAGTCAAACTGTATTGTTGAAGAATAACCAAGGGGGGAAATAAACTAAACAGACGTGGTTAATTCCTTCTTTTGCAGAATGTGTTTGTCGTCTGCTGTAAAGCTGCCATGTTTGTGTACAGGTAGCTCGGCGTGTGATGTGGCTTGCAAACTATTTTGGTCAAAGACAAACACAATGGCTCTTCTTCTTCTTTGAAAGGTTGCCGACCCCCAAACTCGACGGTCCGTTGCATCGCGAGACCATGAGAGGTGGCGACGGAGTGGAGAGATCACGATCGCTCGTGATGACTACAAAGTATATAATTATTACTATTATCATAGACCCAGCAGCGGCGCGGCTCACAGCTGTTCGCACCTGTGATGGCGACGGTGCCTGTGCAGGAAACTCTCTCCTGGGGGCCCCCGTCCGATGACCTGGACAGGAGGAAGAGACGTGGAGTGAAGGGGGGTGGGGAGGAAGGACAATTTTAAGAGTGCGGTTGGCTACGTACGATGCGAAAGAAGTTCAACACACACACGTACATTCGGTATGTGCGGACATACAGAGACGTTTCTGTGTGACGTCGCGTGGTTTCTGCATCGGGACCGGTACCCGCAGGGTAACCCCTACCAGTGGGTACCCACGGATGCTTCCAGAGTGTAGCCGTGCCCCTGGGCACGGGGCGATGTTTGTCAAAGGGAGCAAAACGCAAATTGAAAGACACGCACTATTTTCGTCCCAATATTTTCGTCTCAATATTTTGCGGGTGTCTTTTAGCCGTACCTCACAGTGCCCGTGGCCCTGCCTACGTCAACAAAGCAGTCGGGGGGCAGGGGGCCTTCATCCAGCAGTGGATCGATAAAGGGCTGCAGGTTACGCAGCAGTATTTATCCCGAACGCCGTCGCACGTCGTGACAGTAGCTTACGAGTCCATCCTGGACGTCGCTGTAAATCCGCTTATTCCGGGTCGTTTAGAAACGAGTGACCGTGGCAATTGCAATCCTTCTGTAATCCCATTAACGGCGCTAATTATAGCAACGCATTTGCTTAATTGTGGATAAATGGGCCCCGCCATGAGCAGATCAGCAGGGGAGTTGAAGGGACGTCATTTGTGGAGACTGAGTGAAGACTGGGAGTTGTCTGCCGAGAAATAAATTGTATTTCTTTTATCCCCGCTCGTTCTTTATGCATTTCAAATATCAGACACCCACTCGTGTCGAACCTTGCGAAATCCACGTGCGAGTGGCAGGTCTCTCTCTGCCAACGCGAGAGTTGGCTGCGGCGCGCGCCGTGAGCGGGGCGGCCCCAGCGGCGTGCGCAAGCGGACGAGCCCAATGAGCGCAAGCGGGCACGGCGGTGCCCGTCTGTGCAAGCGCGATCGATTCCTGAGCGGTTTTGAATCGCGAGCGCCGGCCGACAGGGCGGGGGTGGGGGGGGTCTTGCACCGACCTGCGCTGAGCGCGCCGCAGCACCTGCGCCTCCTGGCGCCGCTGCAGCTCGGCCATGCACGCCAGGACGCGCGCGTCGCACACCAGGAGGCTGCGCGCCGCGTCCAGCGCCTGCTCGGCGCGCGAGCACGCCGCCAGCAGCCGGCACGCGCCCTCGCGCACGCGCATCTCACGCTCGATGCGCGCCTGCAGCCCCGCGTCCTGTCGACGACACGCACGGCACACGGCACACGGCACACGACACGCATGGCACACGGCACACGGAGGTGCGTTAGAGCAGACGTCAAAACCGAAAAGTTCAAGGTTGGGAGGTCGTCCATGACTGCGACAGGCAACACGCAAAGACAAAGGTCCCCCCCGTACAGGTTCTCTTAGGGAGAATGTTGTTAGCGGGCACCTATTAAGGCTGGCATGGCACACAAGGAGGTCTCCCTAGTGTTGATGTTTATACACATGGTGCCGGTTACTAAAGGCGGCGCAGGGGCAGGCTCAAATATTCGCCATTATTATCGGTCGTGAACGTGAATCGAACGTTGTTCACTGGGTTCATAGCGCAGTGCGATAACCACTGCGCCACCACCGCTCCCCACACATGATGATGATGGTGGTGAGAGATGGTGAAGGTGGCGATGGTGGTGATGATGGTGGTGGTTACGACGATGACGACGAAACAAAAATCCACCGTCCAGGGCCCTCGTGTGTTCTGCCGGTGGATCCGGCCCTGTGACGAAAACTCAAGATCCCGCGAAGCTGTCGTAAGCGGTGGAGCCGCGCTAAGCGCCGCTAATCCGAGCGGCGTGGGGTCCCTCTCAGTCCGGATTCCGGGGCAAGCCACGCGAACCCACGCTCGCTAACCCTCCCCACCCCCCCGCCAATCCTCCACGTAACCAAACCTCCCAGCCCCGTCAATCCCCACCGAACCACCCCGCCCACAATAAGACGATGGCTCAAGGATAGTTGTGGGCCGGGACAGAAAGAGTCATTGGTGTATCGTCGCCAAACATTTTGGGGGGGTGGGGGGGGCTTAGGAGAAATGCAAGGAGGGAGGATGGCACGAGCACCGCGGTGGCGAGATGTTAACTACCTCGCCTGGTGCGCAGGAGATCGGGTGTTCGATGCCGACCCAGGCGCCTGCTGTATATTTGGAGTTTGCATGTCTCTCTCCCCGTGGCCGTGTGGATTTTTTTCTCCGGGTCCTCCGGTTTAACCGTCCACATATAGAAATGTGCGTTTGGAGCACTTCGATTATTTGGCTGCTATATGTTTTCACATGATAAGACACTTCGTTGAGCAATCGTTTGTGGCCAGGTTGCTTCTAAAAAAGAAGCTAATAAGCTCAGTGGGCCTTACCTGTAAAATACACATTTTTTGTGTGTAATTTGTTCACCTTTCCTATACTTTGCACTCCTATCGTGTTTTTGTATCGTTGTTGTAACTCTCTGACCCGCCCCGACTGGACATCTGAGTAAAAAAGAGCTTCATAGCTCATCGGATTCCTCAGTGGGAGGCTGCACGCCCCGCTTTGTACCCCCGGTAGCGAATCCGCGCATTACGGCGGCCTCCGTGGGAATTTCAACCGGAAGCGGCTGTGTTCATCCCTTGGGATCGCCGCACCCGAATAGCAGCGACCACTAACCCGACCACAAAGCGTCTCCAAAACCACGCTTCACCGGTTTGCCATTAACACTGGTCTCAGAAACATGCACACAAGGCGGACGTTTCGGGCAATGGCCCTTCTACAGAGAGGAAATAATGCGGACAGCCAGAGAGATTTCACCGAGAACGTGAGCTCGTGTAAAATAAACGTGGTTGCATCGCAAGAGCGTGAGAGGCCGTCATCCAGCAGTTGATAGATCACGGCTGACGACGACGATGATGACGATGATGACAATGATAATGATGAAGAAGCCTTGGCAGAGACGTGCAAGGTTAATCGAGGACAGAGCAAATTGAACCCGGCGATGCGGTCGTGCGTGAGGATCGCCGCGCGTGAGCAACACAACCGGACGGCGTTCGATGTCCGCGGAGTTTGGGGGGGGGGTGGCGTGCCGGCGGTGGGGGGGGGGGGGGGGCACGTGCACCCTCGCGCGCTCCGTCGTGATCGTGAGTGACCGTGGCATGGATCGAAATAGAAAGAAAAAACATCTAAAATCCCCTAGCGGGACCCGGTGGCAGGGCAGGTGCTGGGCTTAGGCGACAGCCACCACCGACAAAAATACATAACAAAATTAAATCCCCGGCAGAATGTTGAGTGCGGAGAGAGTGGCGGAGCGTCCCCACCCCGTGCCCGACCCCAAAATATCGTCCGTCAGCGCGGTGCTCGCACCCCCGTTTGGGTGTTCCCCTGGACGGTGTCTCGATTAATTGGGGTGTCTCTCGAAATCTGCGAGGCGACTGAATCAGGGCCCCAAGCTGCGCAAGCAAAACAAACCAAAACAAACCAACATATATATTCTTGGTTCTTTCGGTAAAGTCACGTAGAAGGGAAATAATAAAATAATAAAAATATAAAACAAAAAAAATTCTCACGACGTTTCGACTGCAACTGCTGTGGATTTCACACCTGATGATGATTGCTTGTGTTGCAGTCGAAACGTCGTGACAATTTATATTTTTTTATATTGATATTATTATATTATTTATCTTCTACGTGACTTTACCGAAAGAACCAAGAATATGAATCCCTCCAGTCACGAAAGCTTTAAATCAAAATTAAACCAACATATAGATAACAAAAATAAATGAATTGTTCGTAAAATCAAAGGTGCAAGCAGGGATTTATTTAAGCCGGATCCATCCGGGCCGGTGACATGTTTCCTGCGCTCGGCACACCACATCCAGTATACCCCTCGCTACGGCACACTGCAACTCTGGTCACGAGCCACCTACTCCAGCCTACGAGCGACCGGGAAAATTAATCCGCGCCCGGCACACCACATCCAGTATACTTATCACCACGACTGGGCTATTACTGTCGTCACGAGCCACCTTCTCCAGTCGACCAGCGACCCGGAAAACCTTCGATGAGGAGTGGCTTAAGCCCTCTCACGCGAAGTTAAACATGAACGCATAACGTGGCGCGCACTCCACGCACGGTGGAAGGAAGCGTCGCCAATGTTCTCTGCGCGGTTCTTGTGGAGCATCGGAGCCCCCCCGCTCCCGTTCCCTGTGCATCGGCGAATTTAATTGAGGCAGTAAAACACCGCCCGTACGAGGCAGGCGCGTGCGGCGCGAGTGTAGAGCAGCAGCAGCGGTTTATATAACGAGCCCGTAGCGAAAGGGGGGGCCGTAGTAATTGTTCATTTAAATCGCTGGGATTCATTGGCAATGGGCTCGCGCACAACAGCGCACACTCTATTCAGGGCGATAATATGTTACTTGTTAGCCCGTCCTAGGGCGGAAGCTGTAATATTAAATATGTACATTAACGTTTTATTGCGTGATTGTTCATTTTCTTAGGAAATGTAGCACATGAATACATTTTTCTTCACTTATTAAATTAAGGACTTTGGAATATTTCTCGGTCTACGATATTTTGTGTGAATCTCGTTCGCTGTTCAAAAGGTTTCCCTGCAGTTGCTATCCTTGATGAACACTTTGATCCGCTGAGGATATTTAGATCAAGACAGCGCTTTTTATTGGTTGGAACCTCCTGGTTACACCAGCCCACAGGGGATTATTGTGTCCGTCCGTCGTGCAGGGAGGGGCTGGGTGGGGAGGGGAGGGTGGGGAAGGGCTGGGTGGGGAGGGTGGGGCTGGGTGGGGAGGGGCTGGGTGGGGAGGGTGGGGAGGGGCTGGGTGGGGAGGGTGGGGAGGGGCTGGGTGGGGAGGGTGGGGCTGGGTGGGGGGTGGGAGGGGTGGGGCTGGGTGGGGAGGGGCTGGGTGGGGAGGGTGGGGCTGGGTGGGAAGGGGAGGGGCTGGGTGGGGAGGGTGGGGAGGGGCTGGGTGGGGAGGGTGGGGCTGGGTGGGGAGGGGCTGGTCACCCCGTGGTGGCCTTATAAAACTCAACATTTAACCTACTCACGCCGGCTTGTGCCCGCCCTCACAGTCGGGCATATTTGCGGAATACACCACGCCGCTGTTGACCCTGGCCATTGACCGAGCAACCCAACGTTCCTATCAGCTCCCTCCGCAGGAATGTGTTAGACACTGTATAGGGGCAGTGTGATCTGCAGAGGGGGCAAATCTAGCTAGCATAAAGGCAAAAGAAGCATTAAAATTGGTAACATTTTTGACCAGTGACTCTTCGGTGTCTTACACAATAGGCAAAGGCGAACAATCTCTGTGGCTGTATAGTTTGAAAAAACGAGTAACTTCACTTTAGCACTGTTTACAAATCACCTGAAGCTGTTAAGTGACAAATTAATCTTCACCGATGGACGTTTGATAGCGAAGAGTGAATAAAGTAGAGTGCTGATACTGTCTGAAGTAACTTAGCAAATAACGAAGTGCAAAGCGAAGCATTCGAGTTACGAATAAATTGATCAGAGTATAATTTTATCTTGTCTCAATGTAATGGCAGGGAATATTGAAAAAAAAGAATGTCATCAAACACTTCACTGCATTTCACTGTAGCACTATATTAATGGCAGTGAACGTTGCACTAAAGGAAGTCATAAAGCACCTCGCAGCAATTGACCGGACCACTGCATTAACGCGTGACGCAATGTCGCAGTAGCAATGTATTTGTAATGCGGGCGCGGGCGACCTCCCGGATGTGACGTCACGGAGAGGTGGAGTTAGGTGACGTGGGAGCAAGGTTAAGGTTCTTAAGGGATGAGACCGGAAGAAGACGGGAGAGAATGAGAGACTGGACAAGAGTAAGGCCACGTTGGGCGAAGCCAGGAAGAGTGGCACCGTCGGCCAGCGGTGGCCAGCTAAGGGAGCAGCCAGCGGAGCTGCGGGAGAAGTCAGCAGTGGGGCTGCTGGAGAGAGAGAGCGGTTGAGGAGCTGCGGTGAGCACAGCAGGCGAGGCTGTGTGTGAGAGACAGCAGCAAAGCTGCTAAGAACTACGGGAGCGACCAAGGAACAGCCGCGAGGTTGTCAGAGGCTACGAGAGCGACGAAAAGAGGAACTGCAGCGAGTGCAGCCAGTGGGGCTGCGTGAGGGTAACAGTGGCGAGGCTGCTGGAAGGTTACGAGAACTATGGGAGACGTGACGAGGGTAACAGCAGTATCAGCGCAGTGCGGAAAGCCTCATAG